CCACCCGTCGTAACACCACCAACACCAACCCCACCCGTCATTACACCACCAACACCAACACCACCCGTCGTGACACCACCAACACCAACACCACCTGTCGTTACACCACCAACTCCAACTCCTCCTACTCCTATCCCGGAGACTTGCCCAATTGACACGTTGAAGCTAGGAGCTTGCGTGGACGTTCTTGGAGGTTTGATTCACATCGGGCTAGGGAAAAGCCACGCCAAGGAAGAGTGTTGTCCAGTTTTGGGAGGCTTACTTGACCTAGACGCAGCCGTTTGCTTATGTACCACCATTAAGCTCAAACTTCTCAACATCAACCTTATCCTCCCCATTGCTCTTGAGGTTCTTCTCGACTGTGGAAAAACTCCACCGCCTGGCTTCAAGTGTCCCACTTAAACAATGTAAAGCGTACGTTGAGAGTCTCTGCACGACTCCAAAAGATTTCGTTTGTTCAAGAATTTGTTCGTTTTATGATCTCTTTGGTGATGGGAGGTTCATTTGCATGTGTGCGACCTTTAGTTACGTGTTTCATTTGATACAATAAGAGGAGTTTGTAATTTGGGTTTGAGATCTCAATTTCTTTGCGTTTTCATGTTATGTTGTACTTTTCAGGAAAAAAAAAACTGTAAAACGATATAACTTTTTTCTAATATAAACAAGTTTGTATCAGTCTAAAGTTTGTTTTTATGTACATACGTACGTTATGGAGTAGAAAAAATGTGATTTTTTTTATAGCCATGGTCCATGCGATGCACAGCCGCCACACAGCGCAGCTACTGACCAAGTACATGTGTATATATATAGAGACGTCTCTTCATGCTCAAGAAATATATCTATATCACATTTTTTCTCTAAACACTTGACAAATAAGATAAATCATACCATATATTATTACAAATAAGATAAACATACCATATATTATTACAAATAAAATAAAAAAACATTAAAGTTTAGTGTTTTATAATATCTTGTAGCTTAGAACTAGAGAGGGTGCCGACAATTATTTATCATACATTATTTAAGATACATAACAAAATTCAATTATATATATATATATATATATATATAACATATTTTACGTATTTTAAAAAACATATTTTACGTATTCCTAATATATGGCTGGTGCAATTTCAAGGTTTTTGTATTGTTTTTTTTGCTTAAGGTATATTATTACAAATATGCGTATATAAACCCAGTTAAAATTTCTAAATATATGATTCCATTAGTTAAATATTTGGACTTTGTGTTAAATATTAAAATGAGACAAATAAAAATAAAATCAGGATATTCCGATGAATAAAACTAAAAACAATTGGTTAAGAAAAAAAAACTCAACAAAAATATACACGAGTAATGATCATATATTGGGCTTAATTTAATGAACTTGGGCTTTATCCTTATCCGCTAAAGTATATGCATGGGCCGAGTCGAAGAAAGCCACAACAAAGGTTCGTTCTACTTTTCTTTTTTCTGTCTTGTCGAACAAGTTCACATCTCAGAGAGAGGTCGTGTATTTTGTTGTAGAGAAGAGCAAGTTCTCAGCAAAAATCAAAGAAGAACCGAAACGAGAAGAGAAGCTAATTCTTCTCAGGTAAACAATTCTCTTAAAATCCAATGCCTTTCATTCTTCTACTTGCTTCTTAATTTCTCCGAATCTGCGTATCTTCGTTTCCGCTTTGAATTTGAGTTTACTGGATCTGTATTGAGCAAAGTATTTTGCAAATTTTGATGGAATTTGATAAACCCTAGCTAGATGCGACTATGGGTTGTTGATTCTGTTTAGTTTTTGGGTTTTTTTTTTTTTTTATATGGGCATCAGTGATTGTCGACTAGGTAAGTAAGTGTCTTCGATGATTCTCATCGTTCCTGTGATTGTGATTCCATTTCTAATCTTTGTGTTGATTCCAAATGAACAGGGATTGATAAAGTTAGTTCTTTTACATTCTTTTGTAGAAGATGACCTAGATTAGCCTTGTTTTGTTCTGAATTGATCGGGTGAGTTAATTGCTGTGATATCAAAAACTTTAATTTTGGGGGTTTTTTAAACCGGCCCTGTTTCTAAGGGAGTATGGATTAGTGTTAGTGCCTCTTATTTGCCATAGTTTTGTTTACACGGTGTAGCTTTAGTTAGCTGTAAATTTCCACTTGCAGATTCCTTAATTGTAATGCCTCAGAATGGTTGTGCTATGATCATGGAGGTTTATTTATTGTCTGAATGTTTCTGTGTATGAAGCTTGGGAGATTCATTTGATTCCTTACATTTTTTTTATGTTTTGCTTCTCTTTCGTGTCAAATGTTTTGAGAAAGTTCATAGTTATCTCTCCTAGAAACCATTGAGTTTATTACTATCTGTTCAGCTAATTAGTAGTCTCAGTGTTGTAAGAACAGTAATTAGATAAACCTTATCTTGAGGTGATTCTGGAAGATGTGATTCTTTTTACATTTTGTGTTTTTATATGGGCATCAGTGATTGTGTCGACTGTGTAAGTGTCTATGATTTTGCTTATCGTTCCTGTGGTTTCATTTCTAAGGTTTTTGTTGATCCCAAAGGAACAGAGATTAATAAAGCTTGTTCTTTTTCATTCTATCGTAGAGACATGACCTAGTTTACCCATTCTGAATTGATTGGGTGAGTTAATCGCTGTGATATCAAAAACTTTAATTTTGGGTTTTTTTTAGAACCGGCCCTGTATCTAAGGGAGCATGAATAAGTGTTAATGCCGCTTATCATAGTTTTGTTTACGCGGTGTAGCTTTAGTTAGCTGTAGTTTCCCACTCGCAGATTTCCTAATTGTAATGCGCCAGAATTTATCTGCTATGTCCTCATTTATCTGTGTATGAAATTTGGGAGAGTCAATTGCTTCCTTACATTTTTCGATGCTTTGCTTCTCTTACAGGTCAAATGTTTTGAGAAAGGTCATAGTTATCTCTCCTGGAAACTTTTAAGTCTATTGCTATCCGTTCAGTTAATTAGTAGGCTCAGTCTTATAAGAACAGTAATTAAACCAATGCCTTTGTTTTTTTTTTCTGGTGTAGTTGTTAAAAGATGTCTCGGAGATATGATAGCCGTACTACAATCTTCTCGCCTGAAGGTCGTCTCTACCAGGTTGAGTATGCTATGGAGGCCATTGGAAACGCTGGTTCTGCAATTGGAATCTTATCCAAAGATGGAGTTGTGTTGATCGGTGAGAAGAAAGTCACTTCAAAACTTCTTCAAACCTCAACCTCTGCTGAAAAAATGTACAAGATCGATGACCATGTTGCCTGTGCCGTGGCTGGTATAATGTCTGATGCTAACATTCTCATCAACACTGCTCGAGTCCAAGCTCAACGATACACCTTCATGTACCAAGAGCCCATGCCAGTTGAACAGCTGGTTCAGTCTCTCTGTGACACAAAGCAGGGCTACACACAATTCGGTGGTCTTCGCCCGTTTGGAGTCTCCTTTCTTTTTGCAGGATGGGACAAGAACTACGGGTTCCAACTATATATGAGTGACCCAAGTGGCAACTATGGTGGTTGGAAAGCTGCAGCCGTTGGAGCAAACAATCAGGCTGCTCAGTCTATTCTGAAACAGGACTACAAGGATGATGCAACTAGGGAAGAGGCTGTCGAGCTCGCCTTGAAGGTTCTGACCAAGACAATGGACAGCACGAGCTTAACATCTGAGAAGCTAGAGCTTGCTGAGGTGTATCTGACTCCATCCGGGAACGTTAAGTACCATGTTCACTCTCCTGAGTCGCTCACCAAGCTGTTGGTCAAACATGGTGTGACTCAACCCGCTGCTGAGACAAACTAAGCCCAAAAGTATCTCTAGTGTTATTCGCTTGGTACGGTGTCTCGTCCCTATGTTTGTAGTACTCTATTTTACAGCTTTCCTTTTGGGTTTGAACTTGAAGTTAACTATGGCGTTGAAACTAGATTTGACAATGTTATGAATTTATCTTCAATGCGTTCGAAGAAGATTTAATCCTTTTTACTAGTAACGACGGTCAAAGGAACAAATTTATTTTATTCTTACTTCTTTAGGTTAGTCTTAGTTTCTTCAATTGATTACTTGAATACTAAGCATTCTTTCTTGTCGTGCAAAGTTTTACACGTAACGGCAATGCCTCCTCGGGTTCAACTGTTAATTTGAGGTTTTGGTTTCGTCCAAAGACTGTTTTCTTTTCTAAGTAAACGCAATTTCACGTTGAGAATCTTGGAATCACAAAAGAGTAACGTTTAAGAAAGACTAGAATACAAAATTTAGATTTTTTTTTTTGTATTTTCCCTTATCAATTTCTTGCATTCTTGGTTAGTCTAAGAAGTAAAACTTGATATGTGGATCTAAGTTTGTATAAGAACCTAAAACATCTCCATAGAAAAACGAATCTTTCTTTACTTTTCATTAACGCACAACTTTGTGACAGTAAACAACACAAGAAAAGATACATACTTTGAGAAATAAGAAACAGACTGCAACTATAATTGACTCCATATGCTCTCTATCACTCTATGTACAAATATTATCGTAAGCTACAGCTTCTCAGTGCTTCACTAATCAAGAACAGAGCTTAGGGAGCGATCTGCTGTTTCCTTTACTTGAGTTCTTGGATCTCCTCTTGATAACTTCCATTTGATTCTGCATCTTCAAACATGCTCTCTCTAATTCCATAACCCTCCACTGTATCCCTTCAATATGATCTTTCAGCTTCTCATTTTCTCCTGAAATCTCAACCTTGTCCATTTGGAGTATGAGCTGCTTCTGTTGTTGTTGTTGTTGTTCATCTGGTGTCTCAATCACCTGAAACTTCGGGTTACGTGAAATTTTAGTTCTTGATTCTCCTGAAAGCTTCTCGTAACTTAATGTTCGTATCACGCTGAGTTTTTCGCCATTGGTTAATCCAGTGTGAGCCTGAACAAGCCATAAAAACTGGCATTCATGTGATAAAGAGCGAAACTTTCTTTTACATTTTGAGTTGGAGATGAGTGTTGAAACGTACCTCAAGATACATATCGATAGCACGATAAATTTCTTCGTGAGAATCTCTGGCTGAATCTGGAACAAGTGTGAGGAGAGACAGAAACTTTGAAGGTTTCAAGCAAGGGTCAGGTGCTACTTCAGCTATGTATTGATCAATCAAGCTTGAGACTTTCTTCAATTGCAACCCTCCTTTTGCTCCGTCGAGGAAAGCTTTCGTGAATCTAATAACGAGATTCACATAGTACAAGTGACTCGATTTCGATGGAGATGGAACAAGAAGATTGTCTAGTGTTGCTTGATCCAGGTTGTTACCTATCATAAGCTCCAGCTTGTTCATGCTGCTCTTGCTTATGTTCAATCCAAGAGCAAGCCTCAAAAATCCGAAGAGGCCCTTGCAAGGTATACAGCTTTGATCTAAGACGCAAAGAGTAGCAATGATGGTTTCAAGAATCTTTCTTTTCTCATGAGAAGATGCAGAGCAAAACTTGACCTTCTGGTAATAGAACAAGAACCTACTTATGATGAGATTATCGAATTTCCGTGAGACCAACAGCTTCAAGAACATTTCAACCAAACCAGGACTTAAAACAAGAACCTCATCAAACCACCACATTAACCGAACAGAGCTATTCTTGAAACTCTCTGTGCTTTTACTGTCACAAGAGAACCGAAACAAGCTGCTATCCGGTGAACAAGCAGAAGCAGCACTAGAAGGACTCATTTCAACAGTTAAACACAGTTTCTCCACTAGCGCATCCATCAGTTTCGCAGCTAATGACTCAGCTTCAGGCGATGTTTCAACTTCTTGACACTGTTTCAGACTGAGAAGAATCTCTGGCCAAGACCAATACCGAACCTCTTCCATACACTTCTCTGTTTGTTCCAAGACTTTAGAGACTTCCATAAACTTAGCAGCACAATGCATAAGGACTACATTCGAGGGCATCACAGCTAATCGACCGTTACTGTAGCAAAATCTCGATACAAGCTCAAAACTTTGCGCTCCACCAGGGAAATCATTAAAGATCACCTTGAGATTTCCATTGGAACAACTCGATTTCCCAAGAAGCTTCTTGAATGTTGCAGAATATGCACATATGATTTGCTGCAGATAAAAATTACAAAACAAATTCATAAGTCAGAGTTAAAGCTTCCTCAATAATTCACAAACAGATTTGAGTGTATATATAATCTTGAAAGACCCACAAGAAAAAAGGTGAAACTTTTAAGCCATCCTACTGTTTGTTGTTTGTGATAGGATAGAAAGTTAGTTATTACAAGAGAGGAAGGAATTAAATATCAACTACACAAAGGCCTCTCTTGTGTCTCCCAATCATTTAAGATCATCTCATGAGTCAGTCACACAACAAGTAAGAACAAAAAGGGAAGTGAATAGTAAACCAAGAAAAATCCAAATTGAGCCTCTTATCTTCCTTTCTCTAGAGGTGCAAAAACATTTGTTTGATTTACACAGAGAAACAATATGGGAGAAAGTCAAAGAGGAAAGGTAAGAACAAAAAATTGCAATAAATGGTGATGGAGACATCTTACATCAATACCTTCTTAACTACAAACTTCTGAGTCTATTGAGATTAATAACACTCAGACAAATTACAGATTCCAAATTAGTGATTGGTTTAACAAAGAAAAACAAAACAGAGATTTGTGTGCCCTCATTTTAAGGTAAACTCGTTGAGCAGAACATTAAATGCTGAATGCAGCAGAGTCACACACAATACGTGAGCCGTAAAATATTATCACAGGAGGATCGTAAACAAAAAGCACACACACCAAAAAAAAATGTACTTTTAAAAAAATTGCAACAACTCACACACAGTTCTGATGCATAAATCAGAACTTACTTAACTCAAGAACACAAATTTAACAATACCCAGATAAAAAAAATTGGAACTTAACATTGAGAAACAGTTAAAGTTTGGATTTTTGATCTGATAGCTCTGTAGAGTGAGAGTTACCTTATTGAGAAAGAGAGTTTCTTCTCCATTGATGTCAACTTCAAGATCAGAGCAACAAGCTTCCATAGTCACCACCTCGATAACAAGACTCTCTCTTTCTCTCTGTCTTTCTTGAAATTTCCCCCAAAGAGAGAAGTGAGTAGAGGGAGAGAAGTGGATTTATGCTGAGCAGAGAAAGAAGACAAAGAGCAAAGAAGCAAGAAACTTTTGTTGGTTTTCTGATTTGTCAGATTTTACATATAACAAGTCTTCTCTTTTGATGTCTGTCAAGTCAATCGATGAAGCACCCACAAATTTAGTGGTGGGTTCTTTTAGTTTTTTTTTTTAGTAGCAGAGAGTAAACAATAAAAAAGAAAGAAAGAGAGACCAAAGAAGAGCAGCAACAAAGGCGTGTCCAAACAAACACCACTCTGTTCACTGTTATAATGAAGAAAGAGAGAGAGAGAGAGAGACCAAGAGCAACAAAGACCGATTCTGACAGTCTTGCTCATAAAGGATATTTTGTTTATTTCTTATAGTAAAGATTATTATGACAACGCATTTAATTAACCTTTTGATCATCTCAGCTGATCCAATCAGTAATTAATCATTCTTTTTTTTTTTTTCATGTAAAGTTCATTGTTTAAGGCAAAATGTTGAAGCTTTTTAGGGTGTGTTCCCTTTTTTTCATTTTTTTCTTATGTTTCAATCAACTGGTAAATTTTAGATTATTTTATTTCATTAATTATAAGTTTATCATTGATCTAAACTTTAGTGACAAACCACACAATCATTTTTTCCTTCAAAACCATAAATTACATTTTTATTAAAACTGTAAACTTATATTTTTCGATCAAAACAAAAAAAAAATCATATCTCTTCGTCGCTAAAACCACAAAATTTTATATCTCTAATCATTTTAGTAAATTTTTGAATGATTTTATTTTATTAACTATTGTCGACCAAACTTTCAAACGGATCGCACGATGGTTTAAGTAAATTTGGATATGATTAAAAACACTAATATTTTTATTTTTGGGTAATGAAATAGTTTTCAAGAAAAGTTAGTTATAATTTTCTATTTAGATTGAGGAAATATAATATGGTGATATAAACTTTATAAAGATTAATTTGAAACATAATTTAATCTTTTACTTCCGTTAAATATATCAATATATACAATATTAATTATTGGACCCCGACCATAACAAAATTGGTACTGTGTGGACCAAACTAAAATTTTGATTTATATATCATACTATTTTCTTGATTACAATAATTGGAAAAGGAAAAACGAAATTGATTACATCGAGACGTTAACAAAAAAGGATACAAAAATTTCAGCAAATATATAATTATTATCTTTGTTTGATGATGACATGCAACTATGTATAATATCAATAATTCTTTTATACAAACTGTATATACACCACATGTAATATCAATTTCCGTGAATAAAAATAAAAATCATGTATTATTACGTTAGATGATAGGCATAACAAAATAGTTGAAAATAACAAGAAATGGGTTTGTTAATAAACGAGGCACCGCCACAATAGAAGGTATAAAAAGGCTATATAAATAGTGTTCGTTAAAATGTGAGTTGTATAATATAATAAAAACAAAAGCAAAATAAAGAACTGATAGAAATAAATAAATATAAAATGAAAGTGTGATTTGGTTTTTCAACTGCTCATGCACTGAACTGAAGGATCCTAATCCTAACGTGGTGGGCAAAAAAGCCATGGAACGGGGCTCACGTGATTTACATACAACTCTGCAGAGACACTTTTATCACTCACACAATTACTCAATACACATATGTAAATACATTTTTCTTTTCATTTTCAATATTGGTTTTGATCAAATTGTATATATATTATCAACTAAATCACATTAACCAAACTGATATCCAAATACAATAACGTTCGTTGTTAGGTATAGGCGTATAGCTAGACAAAGTGGAGTTTAGGTGTTTAAGGTGCTTAAGTACGTGAGACAACAAATATTGCTCACGTGGTGTAAAACCTAATAAAGTAATTGCAATCATACCATTTGTACGTTAGAGATATATATAAAGGTTCATCAACCAAACATATAGTACTATTATCTTATAATTCCATTTTAACAAAAAAAAATTAATTCACTTACTAAGTTGACATAGCACTAGTGCCACTATACACAATATACCAATATGGAACCAAACCAATGCGTTTGCAAATTTGCAATGACTCACTCACAAGTCACCAAGTTTTTTTATTTTGTCAAACTAAACTAATGAACCCTTGCGTAGTAGTACCACTACTACTACTACTACTATATCTATATGTTTGTGTTGCGGCCACGACGGTAGATCGATCCATTCTGGAATTTATACTTTTTGTTTTTATGGTATATAAAAAGAGTTTTATCATATGTATAAAAATCCCTAAGTTTTTGAGTCATGTGGTCATGTCATCTCCTACCTTTTGCTTGAATATGCTTTGGAGGGATTCCTTACTTTTGTTTTGTTTAAAGATTACGGAAATGTATGATCATTATTTCGAACAGTTACTTATAATAATCAAAAACACACCTTCTGACCAACTTATATGTTATTGTATTAACAACATTGATAGTAGAAACTTTTTACTAAAAACATTCCCCCTCAATGCATGACACATTATGGTATAAGTCGGTATTGAATCAACATGATTTTGGATAACATCACATATAGCAAAGACCATTGCTATAGACGTATTGTCATCATATACTTAAACATTCTTGTAATATGATGCGGATCACACTTTTAGTTGCTTTAAGAATGTTACATGAATCGAATATTGAATATTCTTTATAGAAAAAACTTGTAAAAGGTTTTGGGAAATGAGACCCCAAAAAAAAAAATGTTTTGGGAAATGTATTTCTTTCTCCTTTTTAAACCGGCGAAAATGGACGACACGAACCAAAAAATTAAAAGAAACCCGGGAGAAAATGCTTTTGTAGTAACGTACAAAATACAAAATTCGAAAATGTCTAGATGGGCATCGCTAAATTAATAGGCCTTTTAGCCCAAATAGCTCATCACAATCATAATTATTCGGCTTACAATATTTTCTTTACCGCCAAGGTGAAAATGTTGCCGCGCTCAAGTAAAAGCAAAGACATTTTCTATTTGAGACTTAGACACATAATGTAATGGGCCTTTTGGCCCAATTTAAAACAATTCTATACATTTCAGGTCATACCTTTAAAATGTGGCGATTCCTCTCGCGTCAGTCTTGAAGATAACACACACATGTGTGTGTGCAATCGCATTCTCCAAATTCTTGTTAACGTCATACTCAGTTTTAAAATTTTAATTTCTCATAATGAAATACTTAAACAGAGGAATGCAACCAAAAGAACAGAAAACATTTTCTTTGTTACTGTCACGAATAAAATTTATATATATTCAAATTTGACATACAAGAAACTTTAGCATTCACGGTTAGGAAAAAAAAAAAACATATACACGTGGCTCTACACCCAAAAAAAGAAAAAGAACTTTATAGTAACATCATTACGAATGGCACGAATCCGTAAATCAGAATTTGTTTCACTACAGTACAAAAATCCCTGTCCATGGGATCAGAGACTCTCTCATCTCATTTTTTTAATCCAACGGTTCTCATTCATTCAGTACATTACCCCTGAAACCGCCTGACGATTGGTACCTCTCGACAAACAGTCGACAAAAACACACATACTGTATATATATAACAGAATCGCCTTCGTTCCTCGTGTCGCCGCCTTTTCTACTCACCCAATCATCATATGCCACGTGTATAACCTTCTTTTGTAATTCTCTTTTCTTTCTCACCATCACCCAATCATTATAAGCCACGTGGATATTTCTTTTTTATTAAACGCTTTGTTCTCATCTTCTCCTCCTTCATCTCTCTCTGATTTTGCTTTACGCCGGAGAAAGGAAAAAAAATGGAGATTTCAGCTTACGAGTTCGACTCGCTCACTGACTTACCACCGCTTCCACAAGAGTACAAACCAAACATTGACTACTCCAGAATCTCTCTCGATTCCTTACCACCGTTTCCTCCTTCCGATTTTGCTCCCTCCTCCGACAACCACCACCACCTCCTTGACTCCTCCTCTCTCTCTCTTTCGGACTCGCTCTTCCTCGACTCAACTCTTTCTCTCCTCAACCGTCACCACCTCGCTGAGTCAACTCGTTTGGAACAGATCTTTTACGAGCCGACTCGTTTCGATCATCACCTCTTTCCTAACGACGCCGCCGCACCGTTTCTTCACTTGCCAGATCTCAAATCCATCGAGCAAACAACAACCGCCGTGGAAGAACCGAAGACGATGAAGCTCTTTCCATCTCCTTCTCGTCCTGCTCCTCTTCCCGCCGCGAAACGTCAGAGGAAGCTTCACTCGTCTTCTTCTTCGACAACCTCCGGATCTCCAACAGCGTCCTCATCTCAAAACGCAAACGACGTCGTTGTCAACAGACGTACGAAGATCTCAGACAAGATCAGAACATTGGAGAAACTTATGCCATGGGAAAGAAAAATGAGTTTAGCGATGATTCTAGAAGAAGTTCACAAGTACATCAAGTTTCTCCAATCTCAGATTGCTTCACTACGTTGGATGCCTCTCGAATCCGTCTACAACACCGCCGGAGAAGTTGGAGAACCCAATCTGCTTAAATCTCTGACACGTCAACAGATTCTACAGGTTCTCGCGAATTCCCCAGGCTCACGAAACGTGCTCTCCACTCGCCGTGTTTGTGTCTTCTCTTACGAACAGCTTCTCACGCTCAAGGCAATGTCTAGAAACCTCTGAAACTTAATCTCTTGTTTTTTTTCTTTCCTTTTCTTTACGTTTTCTATCATAGAAGCTACATAGCGTTTTAATGGCGGTGACAAAAAAATCAGAGTTTTTGATACAGAGTTCAGTATTACGCCATTGTTTTTGAGTTTCAAGTTCAGTGTATGAAAGTTTTCGGAGTAGTACATGAAACTGTGAATGTTTCATAGAGATAAACAGATTTAAAGTTCCAAAACCAACATAAACAACAACATCAAAAGATCAAAGTTTTGTCACAGACGAAAAACAAAAGAAGAAACATTTCCTTGAAATTCAAAGGTATTCATTTCATGGCAGAAGCAAGAAGCTGAAGCATCTGGTTACCCAAATCTTGCTCCCTAATACACAAAGCCTTCCATCCATCATTCAACTCTTTAGCCTTGTCATCACCAATAAGCTTGACTCTCTCAAAAGCAATGTTCTCAGAGATCAAACCTTGAGCTACAATAATCTCCACTAACTCCTTCAGATACGGATACTGAACCCAAAACCTCTCCTCACTAGTACCACCATCAAGCTCAGTTTCTGTTAAACCACAAAAAAAACACATCCTCATAAACATTGATATGAACATTTTTACACAAGATTCCCAAAATCAAATCTAAAAAATTAGTATCACTATATACGTTACTATTTTTCGCCAACCACCTAACATGACTTGAAACAGAGGAAACTGTGAAATCTGAGATAAGAAAAAAGGAGAGAGTGATGTGTGTAAGTACCGTCATGTTCGAGATCGGAGAGAAGAGAAGAGCGAGAGCCTGCGTTTGTGTTTACTAACACGGACGACGATTCGGCTTCTTCTTCCATTGACTCGTCGTCTTCAGATGAATAGGAAATTTCCGAATCGTAGAACTCGTCGTCGGATGATCCATGTGGAGAGTTGATGAGGAAGTGAATCGGAACCGCCATTTTTGTCGAGATTTGAGCTCGGAGGAAACGAAAACGAAGACTCGATGGATTTGTGAAGAAGGTGAAGAAAAGGTGTGTGTGCTTGTGTGCTTGTGTGTGTGTCAATTTATTATTACAGAGTAATTGTTCATAAAAAATAATATGAAATGTTTTCTAAAAATTTGTTCAGCTGACGTGGGATTTAACCGGTTCTAGAAGAAGATGGAATCAAAGCCAAAATTAATAACCAATAACCAAACTGAACCGAAATGGGCGAAATCACAAAATTTTGGAATGTGATTGTGTTGTAGAGTTTAGCCCTTTAGGATACAACTTTTAGAACCATACAAAAACATTACAATTGTTAGCACTACATACACACGCATATGATTTATGTTTAGCAAAATAATTAATTAAATTATTGAAATAATAAAATACTATGTAACTAAAATAAAATTATTTGAAATATATATATTTGAAATATTTCCATAAAGATATTTCTAGTGATATAATCGAGAAAGCAATATTTTTAACTATAAATGAGTGGAAAAAAAAAACTAAAAGTAGTGTATATGCAAAGATTGTGTCTGTTTGATTTACTTTTAAAAATTCCTTAATGACAAAAATAATATTTATAATTTCTACCAAAAATAAGATTTATGATGTAACTATAACTAGCTAATTAAAAATATTATCTTTGACTTTGATTATATGATATTCTAGATAGATAGCAAAACCTTTCCATCTTTATCAAGAACCGTAACTTTCGTTTAATTATAAAGGTTTTCTATAATTATAACTTGCAAAAAGTTTTTTAAAAAGATCATAAAGATCGATCTTTTTCTTTAATTATCACGAGCCCTAAGTTTCGTGTTTTCTCTCTAAAAGTCTCTTTGGATCCCCATGTGGTTCTTATCAAGTATGGGAAACAATACAGATTTAAACACAAAAATGTCATCATCGTTAAGAGAACATCCACCTTCCACATATTTCATCAAGTTTGAGAGTCTGGCACAACTCAACGATGACAAGTACGAATGTAGTCTTTTCAATGCCGGCGGCTACAACTGGTATGTATGCTCACAAGTCACAACACAAACTCTTTTTTCACTTACTGTATACTTAACTGATCGTATAGTTTCCAAGAAACATGACAAAGATTTATGTTTCTACTGATATATGTTATATGTATAGTTTGTAAAACATATATCGTACTGTATATATTTATGAATATGATGATATATATTCACATATTTCATGAAGCATAATTTTAGGAGATTGGTGATATATCCAAAAGGAAACGCAAAAGACGAAGGGGATGGATTTATTTCAATGTATGTGGAGCTAGATAACACAACCCTCTTGTCAACACCACTAACTGATGTGTATGCATATCTCATATTCTTTGTCTACAACAAGAAATCAGACAAATACTTTACTATTAAAGGTATTGTATATCTAAAACGCTTCATATTTTTTTAACATAGACATTGGTCATTCGCTTATCTTTTGCTACACTATTATAGATTGTGAAGTTAAGCGGTTCAATGCATTGAGAACGGTGTGGGGAATGTCTCAAGTGCTTTCGCTTGAAACTTTCAACGACCCCAAAAACGGATATATCTTTGACAGTGATCAATGTGAATTTGGTGTTGATGTATTGGTTGCTCCATCCCTTCCTAAATGGGAAGTCGTGTCCTTTAATCAGAAAACCCCTAATCCCAAATTCGTGTGGAGTCTCAAGAAATTTAAAGAGCTTAAAGCGGCTTCTTACGACTCGCAAAAAATTTTGGCAGGAGGAAGGCAATGGTGAGCAGAGTCTATGACAAACTTATATATACATGCACTAATCACATACATATATGCATCATCTATATATATGAGTGTTAACAAGTGCAACAACTTGTTCTATAGGTTTTTAAAGTTGTACCCGAACGGCGATGCTAGAGCCAAAGGCAAGTGGATATCCATTTATTTGTATTTAAGTGACGTTGAGACACTCAACGCAAAGGAGAAAATCTACACGCGAGCAGATGTCAGAATTGTAGATTCTCGTGGAACCACTCATTACGTGTTTGGGAAACGTATGTTATAGAACACTTTTTACATTATCATTTTCTAGTTCTTTAAAAAAAAAAAAGATTTGTATACTCTTCATCGTTTCGTATGTGAAACTAATTAATAATGTGCATTTAACTATTTTTTGCAGTTAACTCGTGGTACACAAAGCTAAACTCAGGATTAGGTTGGTCTACATTTGTGTCTTTAGATAAAGTTCGGGAGGCGTACTTGGATATTGAGGGCTCTTTGAATGTAGAGGTTGAATTTGCAGTTGTTTCTACCACCAAATACTCTCCCAGTATCTAAACTCTGCTTTTGTTTTAATCATGGGTTATCAATTTATTCGTTTTCGTAATGTTTAAAAATTTAAATCATTTTATCGATATTTTTTGGTTTTGTTTAGTTTATTTTATGTTTCGTACTTTCATATATATTAATATATAGGACAAAACAAAAATGAGAACTTCAAAACATACCGTATGAGTGACAAAAAAAAGAAAAAAAAAAGAATACATCTATATATATAAAGTTAGTTTTTTCTCTCTTCTCATGCCACCTAAACATCCACCTAAGCCACATTTTTTTTTACATTCAAAAAAATTTAAGACATTCATTTAGTGCATATTTATACTACTTATTTAATTAATAGAAAATTTATATAAATAAAAATAAATTATGTAAATAAATAAAATGGTAAATAAGAAATACTTTCATTTTTTATTAGTTAGTGGTAATAATATAATTCAACTTTCATTTTAAATTGATCATAGTTTAAAATTTTAAATGTGTTATTGAGTTTAAGAATGTAAGTAAATTTTAAATTTATGATAGAATAAAAACAACATTTATGTAATTGTATATATAAAATTTTAAAGGGGAAAAATAAAACCGAAAATGAAATATTAGTTTATAACATGATAAAAAAGAAAATGCTTTTAGTCCAAATTTAAATATTGAAAGATAATAATTCAAGAGAAAATAACTATAATATGTTTTGAAAATCAATTAAAAAAAAAAATATCATAATATGAATAAAAAATTAACAAAAAAATTATAAACCTTCCGCGTACAGCGCGGGTCAACTGCTAGTACTGTATATACACCATCAGAACCAGTGATCAGAATTATATGTCCTTAACATTAAATTCCTAACACTAAAGAACCTGTCGTGTCTTTTTTTTCTTCTTTTATATATGAAAAATACTTGATTCTCTACTTGCTGTTTTCACTACCATATTCAAGTCAAAATCGGGATTTTCATGTTCCTATGTTAGTTTAGATGATTATACTATGATTCTAACTTCGAATTTGGTGTTTCATAAACTCATGAACTATGAGCTTATGTACTTAGTAATTGGTATTTTAATGTTTAGAATTTTTTATTTTTTTTTGGTATGAATTCAGTTTGGTTGGATAACTTCGGTTTTTTAAAATAAATTTGTTTGTTAATAAATACTACATATGGGTTTGACATGTCAGCACAAATGGCCATCTTTTAAATGCATATCTACTATAGTAGATTATTCCAATTGAACCCTAGAAGTATTGAAGTAAGAGGCGCATACAAAAACTAATTACCCCTATCCCAAAGGGCCTCCCAGCTTCTCGATCTATCTGTCTCTCTTTGCTTCAGGTTCGTCAAAATTTTCTCTGTCTCTCAACTTCTCAGCAGTCTTTAGAGACAAAACGAGCTAGCCCTAGGTTGTTTAGTATTAATTTTTGAATTCTAAGTCAAAATTTCACTTCTTGTAGGATCTATATCGATTCTCTTTATCTACCCCTCTCTTTGCTTCATGTTCTTCGAATCTTTCTTTAATTTAGCCTTAAAAGATAATACTCGTCGAATCTTTTGAATATGTTTTGCTATGGCTTATGGGATTTCCAAAAACTATTGATATAGAAAAGGGGTTTAGTGGTTACTAATTAATGAAACAAACTTCTCTATGACATTGCAGACGTGACGTGACAAAAGTTATGTGTAGATAAAAAAATATAAGAAGTGGAAAATAACATTTTATTAAATGTAAACGTTTTGTCAAATGTTTGGACACTCATGAGTCACGACTCTTCGTTTTTGCATGAAGTCGTTTTAACCTTTTTGAGACTGCTCCACGCCTCCACCTTCCCTCGCACAACTTCCAAAACACCTTTGTTCTCATAAGTCATAATATTAATTAACAATCTTTAGGCTTTCTACGGTTGCATTACAGAGTTGGATTAAGTATAGTATAGAATGGGTTCATTAGCAGCAGCAGATTCTACAATTGTGAAGAACTGGAGAGAGCATCCTCCTTCTTCTTATTCCCTCAAGATCAACAAGCTTTCTCAGCTTACTCTCGACAAATACGAGTCCCGTCTTTTCTTGTCTGGTGGATATAACTGGTACGTGAGCTTTTGTTATAGACTGATTGCATCTTTCATCATTATATATAAACTTATCATGCTTTCTTAATTATTATCTATGTCAATTCTCAGTGAAATTACTCTTTGTTCTTCTGTGAATGATGATTTGTCCCTAAAATATATATAGGAGACTGGTTATATACCCAAAAGGAAACCAAAAAGACGATGGAACCGGATTTATTTCAATGTATGTGGAACTTGACAACACCTGCCTCTCATCCACATTACCCATGGAGGTGTTTGCATATCTCACGTTCTTTGTCTATAACAAGAAAGAAAACAAATACTTTTCAATACATGGTTCGTACCGTACCTACTCACTTATAAGCCCTCTCTCTATTTACATATATATATATATTAATTCAGTAATATGTATAATGCATATGAACATGTAGATGTTGAAGTAAAGCGGTTCAATGCATTAAGGACGGTATGGGGATTATCCCAAGTGCTTTCGGTGGAAATATTCAATGACCCTAAAAATGGATATATCTTCGAGGGAGAACAATGTGAGTTTGGTGTTGATGTGGTGATTGCTACACCCTTTACCAAGTGGGAAGTTGTCTCCTTTGATGAGAAATTCTCTTTTCCAAAGTTCTCCTGGAGTGTTAAAGAATTCTCGGTGCTGAAAGAGAAATTTTACATGTCCAAAAGCTTTTCAATGGGAAAAAGAGAATGGTGAGTCCACTATATCTTCGTCTTTTTTTCTTTTGTTTCTTTTTTCTATATATTATATACACATGTCCATAAGTGGTTACCGCCTAACCGAGCACAGTAAAATATGATGTGTAGGAAAATTCAGTTGCATCCGAAGGGAGACGATAGAGCAAATAATAAGTGGCTATCAATTTTTTTGAATTTAGATGGCACTGAAATTGTGAAGGCTGATGAGAAGATTTACGTGCGAGCGCTTGTGAAGGTTATAGACCCCCGTGGATCCAATCATGCCACAACAACAAGTATGTGATCAAATTGTTTCAAGATGCTGAAACGGTTTTCAATAGGCGTTCTGAACTTGTGATGGATCATGGATATATATGTATATAGTTTCATATTCTTTTGACGTTTGGTTTTGAGCTAATTTGCTTTACATACACTCCTTGTTCTTGTAGTTAACAATTGGTACACGGAATCGAACAAAGGGTGGGGTGTTGTCGAGTTCTTGTCTTTGGCTAAACTTCGAGAGGCGTACTTGGACGTAGAAGATACTTTGAACGTAGAGGTCGAATTTGAAGTTGTCTCTGTCACCAAACACTCAGCATGAAAACCTAAGCTCTAAAATTTAGGATCATGTGTTCCATGCTTATTATTATAGGACTACTCTGTTTACTGCGTCCATTAATGATCTTACTAGCTATTTGATTTTCGTTTCTTAAATAAATTTTGTACTTAAAGTTTATTTTATTTCCTAATTATCAGTTTCGTTTTATTTTGTAATCAAAATATATATTCTATTTGCCAACGTATTATCAAATAACTTATACTATACAAGAGGTCCACGGTAGCGGTGGGGGCGCTTGTGGACAGTGTATATTCCCGGTATATCAACCAACCGAACAGATAATTTGCGTCCTCCCATGTAGCTCCCATCAAGTTCAAGCACCTTATCTGCTATGCCTGTTCCTTGCATATGTGCCATAATAGAAGTGTATCTGCAAAATAAGCAAAGACAGCAAGTAATATAGTTAAAAGAGTGTTTAATAACTTTGAGATCAAGTTTGAGTAAACAATGGGAGGGAGAAGGAACCACAAACCCGTCGAGATTATGGATAGCAGTGAATACTCCATATGAAGAGAAATGTTCACGCAGAGATGTGTCGATATCAATCTTACTAAGCGAAGTGTCATATCCTTCAATATTTACCATAACTCGACTGCAAGAATAGGGTATTATTTAGTGCAGGCCAGAGATGAGATATATACAACACATGCAAGAACACACACGATACACAAATTGATGATTTAAAAAAAAAAAAAGGCAAGAGTTTAATTTACTCGTTTGCATTTTGAGGAAACGGAAAAGCCTCAACAGAGATATTCCATCCCTCCACATAAGTTCCATTAAGTTTCAAGGCCTTATTAGATACTGCGACTGCGCCTTCTCCTAGAAAATATATGTAAGCACTTCTGCATGTGAAGCACAAAAACAACAATTGACAATAAGCACATACGTCACTTCCACTTTACTTACTCAATAATTGAGTTGAGATCATCAGCTGGAAGAAGAAGAAATAAGCCACAATACCTCTCTAGAATATTAGTCTTAGGGTCAAACTCGACGTCTATGGGAATATTACGCATAGAGCCCCAGTCTATGGGAACACAAACATCCGTAATCTCTCCACATGATGAGAAATGTTTTCTCAATGCCCTCTCCATATCATTCTAAGGAAGCTTTATATCATATCCCGTTACAATAATCCTCCCAATGTCACTGTAACGAACGTGACAGAAACGAACACACATATGATATGCATCGATCCATCTTAATTACAATATTTTTTACAAAAATAAAAAAGAGACAAATATCGAATCAGTTTACCTGAGTTTTGGCAGCAATTTAAGTCCCTAAAAAGATATAGAAAATATCTAATCAGAAACCCTAATAACTCGAAAGTATTGTTATTACATATACTTTGTGAAGAAATCATAAATTGAGAGACAAGGGTTACAGATTTAATAAGAAGAAAAGCAATAAGGGAAAGAAGAAGATGAAGGTTAGAGCAACTCCAACGAAGAGAACACATCATTGGTTCTCACAAATTTTTTAATTATAATTTTTGTATGTTGATTAGTTGAGAACCTCTTTCAATTTTTTAAAAAGTTTGTCCCTCCAACAATAGAATTCTCTAGTTGGGTGTGTGTTTTTTTTAAATGGTGTCCCTCCTAGTTGAAGTGTGAGCCATGTCCTCAATTCCATTGTTTACTCCTTGGGTTCGGAGAAATCCAGCTACAAAAACAGTGTCGTGGTCGAGCTGGAGCATCTCGCCACGAAGATCTTGAGTCCGGCTTGGTTTGATTCATGGCCATTCATGGCTTCTGTCGATTTGAGACCAAATTCTCTCCCGATTTGGAGAAATTGTATGTGAGAGAGAGATTAAAAGAGAGAGAGAAGTGTTTTTTCTGCAAAAGAAAAAAAAATCAAAGAGAAGAGAGAGAACTCGAGAGTGTTTTTTTTTTCTTTCATCATTTTATTTCTACCAATGAGAAACGAACCCATCACACACTATCTCAGGTTCTCTAACCTCTCACCAGAGAACCGGTTCTGTCTTAAATAATAATTTTTGATTTAATTTTATGCATTTAAATCCAGAGAACTCCACAACAGAATCCCCGATGGAGATGGTCTTACCTTGACGGCGGATTCGTCCATGGATTGAGAAGTTGAGAGAACGCGAGGTGGCGATTGGAAAGATTTATATTAACACTAAAATTTGGCTCGAAATTATATATAAATAGATACATATAATAAAGTAATATATTTTTAAGTTTACAAAAAGTAATATATCCTTAAGTATTTTACAATATATAAAAAAGTAATATATCCTTAAGTATTTTCAATATATCCATA